CAGGGAGATAGCTGACAACAGCATCCAACAGGGGCTGGACGCCTTTGTTCTTGTATGCGCTCCCACAGAGCACTGGCACAAAAGTTCCAGCCAGAGTCCCCTTTCGAACCAGTTTCTTGATTGTTGCAGTGTCAATCTCCTCCCCTTCCAGGTATGTCATCATCGCGTCGTCATCAAGTTCCACCACCGTCTCCAGGAGCTTCTCTCTGTACTCAGCTGCCTGGTCCTTCAAGTCATCTGGGATATCCACGAAGTCAAACGATGCACCCAGTTGCTCCCCACTCCACACAATGCCCTTCATCTCAACCAAGTCGACAACACCCTGAAAGTTGTCCTCCGCACCAATAGGCAGCTGCATCACGAGCGGGTTGGCACCCAGGTTGGTGACCATCATGTCCCGAGCCTTCATAAAGTTGGCGCCCATTCTGTCCATCTTGTTGACAAAACACATGCGGGGAACTTTGTACTTGTCTGCCTGCCGCCAAACGGTCTCAGACTGGGGCTCAACGCCCGCCACAGCATCAAAAAGAGCGATAGTACCATCCAGTACCCTCAGAGCACGCTCCACCTGACCACCAGTACACCAGCACAGAGTTATTGGGCTGCTTTATGAATTATCATATGCTCAATACACTGCTAGTCGTCTTGCACGTCTTTGGAACAGTGGATGTAACCATGCTTGTGTCTTGGCACTGCACTGGCCTAGCAAAACTGAAATAGTGGCTCATGTAAGCACTTGGGAACAATACTGGCAAACAGCTATGCGATGCACAGACACAAATAGCATCTTGTGATCTGAGAGGGCGATGCACTGGTTAGTCAATCCTTGTGTCCAGCACTTATGAAAATTGTCAGGCCCACTAATGCAAAGACGATGTGAGACTGAGCACTGCACAGGCATGCCTCTACGCCAAACGACAAGAGTTGCAACATATGAACTTGCACAAAATCCATGTAAAATAAAGTTGTACAACAAGCTCAGCTGAGGCTTATCCAGTACCAACCAGCAGTTGTACATACAGCAAGTGTCACAGGTACTGCCTTATACATGGCCTTCACCTCGAGGGTGAAGTCAACGTGGCCAGGGCACTGCACAGGCATGCCTCTACGCCAAACGACAAGGTGGCAACATATGAACTTGCACAAAATCCATGTAAAATAAAGCTGTACAACAAGCTCAGCTGAGGGGCTTATCCAGTACCACTTGGCTGCTGTACATGCAGCAAGTGTCACAGGCCACTGCCTTAGCCCTCAGCCTTGCCTGGGTGAGAATCCCAGCGTGGCCAGGAGTGTCAATAATGTTGATTCTGTGGTCGTCCCAGAAGCACACGTCATTGGCTGCAGACGTAATTGTGATGCCCTCTCCTGTTCCTGCTCCATCCAGTCCATGTGGTCACTTACATTTCCTTAGGTAGTTCCGTTACGGCTCTTCCCAGTGTGGTAAGGATGCGGCTCTGTCACAGTCGTCTACCCGGGTGAACGCAACATACAATGTCCGGATCGGTGCCTGTCGGACCCAGGATCAGTTCGGGAGCAAGCAGGCAGCGCATCGGTGGCCTTCCAGAACGATTACATCGGCACGTATTGATGATGATGCAGATGCCTCTCTGCCCAATAAGCAACCAAAAGATACGCACACAACTGGGGAATTGTGTTGCCAAGGTGATCAGTGCAACACATCTAAGCAGTGGGAAGAGGGCTGCAATAGTTACCTTTCCAGCGTCGATGTGGGCCATGATGCCAATGTTGCGGTACTTCTCAATGGGGAAGGACCGCCCTTCGCTGCCTGGCATGAGAACAACAGCGAAGCTCGTCAGGCGGAGGACCGGCCAACGCGCAGTGTTGGGAGGACTTCATCCGCATTCCAGGGTTCCAAGTGCAGCCTATCGACGCGTGAATTCGCCAACGGTGCCCACGAATACAGTGACTGGTGCACCGCCGATGCTTGTCCAGCTGCACCGATGGTTGGCCACTGCTGCAAGCACGAACCCCTTCACATTATAGCCACGAATGTCCAGCACTGACCCACCGTCAGCCGCTGCAGAGCAGACGACACTACGCCCCTGCGCCGCCTGTGGTCCAGATGGGGTGCCATGCTTCGGCGCCGAGACAGACACCTGCGGAACCAAGCACGGCGGCGCCCATCAAGCACATGCCATGGCGACCACACAACCAGCCACCAATGCGCCTCCAGTCTCCGGAGCGCAGGACCAGCCGTCACAGAGCCACGCCAAAAACCCCGACGAGCAATCCTCACCAGCACAATCCCTCCAAACATGAGGGCCGAAACACTGGCGTCGGCAGCCCGATTCGGAAGGCGCCCCACCTTTGTCCCAGCAAGGGAAGACTTCCTGAAGACCGGCAACCGGGGCTGAGCACTCGGACATCCAAGGCGACACGATGGCGCCGGGCACTCGTTGATGGGCTGACGCGCGGCGGCCCTCGCCTGCGCGGCGCCCGGCGCACACAGTCCGCGGGAGACCATGGCGGCGAGGCGGACGGCTGGCGAGGGGGGAAGCGGGCGAGGCGGGCAAAGGCGAATGGCAGGCGGCGTTCGCGTGCCTTTGGGGGCCTCCGTTGCCACCAACCGCTGGCCCGGAGTCGGCAGCGGAAAAGCGCGCACGCGCGTGGAGGCTGCGGATTGACGACGCGACACGTCGCCCCTTTGCCGCCACGTCGGATGCGCCCGGCGTTCCTGCCTTTGGCCGTTTGATGGGTCCAAAATGAGCAGGGCTTGGCCGTTCGGTGCTGGGCGGGTTGGCAGGAAAGTGGCCCTCCCAGGCCGGCTGTTGCCGCGCGATGACGACCGCTCACCGTCCCACTTGGGCGCCCGCAAAGGGCGCCGAGGAGCAAGGGGGCAACAGGCTCTTCGTGCCGAGTCGGGCGCACTCCGCGAAGGACCAGCCCTCCCACACGAAGCTCAAATTCAGGTGGAGGCGAGGTCCTTTGGATGCGCTTTGCCTGAACTGTGCAGAAGGGGGCCTTTGCGCTTCTGGGGTGATGTGTGTGTGTGTGTGTGTGTGTGTGTGTGTGTTTGTGTGTGTGTGTGTGTGTGTTGAGGGGGCTGATTGGACTTAGATGAGGCCCCTTGTGGGCGATGTGGGGCGTGGGAGTTGATTGATTCCTCAGAGTCAAGGGTTTTGAATGAACATGGGCAGAACGGCTCGTCGGTAGGAGTGTATGTGGTAGAAAGGTGTGCAGTGGCTCTGATTGGCAACTGGGCAGGGGAGCATGAAAAGGCTGTGGCAAAAGATTGGGACTTGCACTGGGCACTTGTTCTTTCTTGTGGTGCTAGGAAGTATCCTGTCGATTTGCTGAATCGGTGAACCCAGCAAAACAAAGATAAGTAAATAATGAAAGGACAAGTCTTGGTTATTTTCAGCTGTACAAATGGCATTGGAAGCAGGAGCTGCAAGGGCGTTATGACATTGTCGACACAAAGCTGCACTAGTTTCTGTCTCAGATTGTGTTATCCTTGGAACGTTGCAAGGGTGCAACAACTACCAGTAAATATTCCTCTTTTGTCTTTTGATAGTCGCTGAGAATTGGTGCTTCTGGCTTTCTGATTTCAGGGCAGATGGCCAGTCATCCGCAAAGGACATTGAGAAGAGGGATCTCAGAGTATGAATCCTAAATCGAAGATTTCTGTGGAACACGGACTGGTTGAAATATTTGGTACAGCCTATCACTGTGTGCAATTCATTAAACGCTTGCATCAAGGAAACCATCTAACCCAAAACAATAAACTTGCACCACGAATAGTAACGATGACTTTCAAGATTGGCAGTTGCAAGTGTGCACATCTCAGCTTCCAATTTTCATGGAATTTATCTCTCAAAAATGGCTGCACCCAACCATAATAGCCAGCATTCAACTTGGCATCGATGTGCCCATGGTGCTCTAAGCTTAGGTATCCCCTGGATTCCATGTTTGTTGGTTTGGATGGCAGGGTAGCTTCAGCATGTAGCTTAGAGGGTACATGTTCTCCCGTCACTGGTGTCCTCCTTTTGCAACGTTCTCTTTGAAGTCAGGCTCCCCAATCTCTGCTCCTGGCTTGCGCACACACATGAGATCTGTTGCCAGTGTTTTGTGTAGATCCTTGGTAACTTTTCGGTTCCTTTCTTCTAATAGTGCACCAGCACCAGGTTGCTTCGAACCTGCTTTTTGTTTACTGGAGCTAGTAAGAATCTTGACCATTGTGGCTTCTTGTTAGAACACATCCCATCTTCGATGTGTGCGTTCTGAGCACGCAGTTTTGTCTCCTTCATTATCTTCGTGGTTGGAACGTCGGCAACTAGGAGTTCGAACATGTCCATTTTCAGACCACCCACAAGTGATATCCCAGATTGAAAGTGCATTAAACGATGGAATGGACGATAAGGGCCAACCTTATGGAAAATGTTAAGCTATTGGGTCGAACAACCATAATTGCACGTAATTTTAAGGGCAGGTGTTTCTTGGTAACATAGTGACGTGATGCAAAGCTAACTAAGCCAGATTTGTTGCAGGCAGAACTGGAGGCAAAGGAGAGGAAAAATTTTGAAGGCAAGCATGAAGCAAAATGTAGATGTTTGTGGCTCTTCTTTTACTATGAACAGGAGTTCCTTGAAACTGCATGAATGCTTTGACTTTGAGCCCACACAGTTGCCTTGACTTACGCGCAGATGCTGCTTCATGTGTGCCTTCTGAGTCAGTTGCTTTTGATGCAAATGCCCACCAGACAATGGCATGGAATGTTGTTTCTGGCTCTTGCGCACTTGACTACTGCTCTGTAGTGGGCACAAGGGACCATCCGCTCCATGCATTCGATGCAACAGAAGTTGTTGTTTTGCTGCTGGACAGTTTGACATTCTTGAAGACTCATGAGCAGATTGAACCAGAACTTTGGCTTGGCATACTGATTTCTTTATTCAAGCTTGTTGATGCTTTTCAACAACACTGCTTTGAACCAGTATTCTGTGTGGTCACAACAAGCAGAGGAGCGAAAGAAGGACTTAAATATGCTGCAAATTGGAGATGGCTCAAAGTCAAGTGCGAAACTTTTAGTTCCCAAAGCAGTGGATGCAGATGACGTGGATGACGATGCAAATGATGATGACGACGAGGAGGAAGAAGATAGTGAGGTATTCTAATTCTTGAGCTCCCACTTCTCGCACATGACGAAGAAAGTGCCTGGGAGCAATCTAGCAATGGCATATACCATTGTTATCAATCACTATGTACCCTTCCAAACAAGTGTTCCCGGTCCAATGAAACGAAACCAAGGAAAGAAAGACAGTGACGTGTGTGTTTTGTTCACTGCCAACACTTCCAGTAACACTCTTCGCAGTTATGTGGATGGTCTCAGGTGTCCAGAATCTCTTCTTCTCCGCCCATTCTTCTCAGGCTTAGGATATGAAGCGTTGAGCAGTCCAGGATTCTCCATTTGTGGCGAGTTGTACTGTAGGGGTGCTTGGCAGTAACTTCAGAATGTTAACAATGGGTTTGTGCATGTGTTTGCGTGTCAAACTGCACTGGATGTTTAGGATGGCTTCATGCTGCTGATGAGGCGTTGCTGCTTCTTTGCTCCAGGATGAGGAAGCGGAGCTGTTGGAGTTGCTTGCGCGCATAAAGAAGGAGAGGGAAGAGGAAGGAAGAAAGAAGGTGAGTTGATCTTGATGGGAAGGCAGGTGTTGGAAGTTGGCTTTATGTTGTCAAGGCGTGTGTTTGATAGTGCCTTATAGGTGGCCTTTTTCTGCTGTGGGACAGCCCCACAAGTGCTTTGCTGCCAGTGTTTTTCAAGCTTTGTTTGTTTGTTTGTTTGCTTTGTTGGAACGTACAGATCACACGTCAGACGAAGCAGGTCAGAAGAATGTGATGTGGTTTCACCAACACAAAGAATGCAGGCAGTTCAGATTCCAAGGAGTCTATTCTGCTGAAGCGCATATGCCCAATGGCATTTGTTCATCCACCAGTTTATGTCAGGTTGGGTTGCATTTGGAACACATTCAATAGTTGCCATTGTTGCCATATTACAGTAGTGTCCGAGCCGCTCCCATGTGGCTATTGGCTGGATGATGGCAAGTATGCAGACAAATGCACATTATGTGGCTGTGCATGTGCATGACAGCACCTGACAGGTGTTGGCTTGCAGGCAGAGGAGGAGGCTGAACGTGAGCTCAAGGAAAAAGAGGAAGTGCTGCTCAGGGGCAACCCTCTCATCCATCAAATGGACGCAAATGCTCAATTCGCAGTGAAGCGGAGGTAAGGGGTGCTGTGCCAGATACAGTCACATGGGGCGTACAAGTGACGTCCGCTCCTGTCATCGTGGCAGTACTTGCTGCTGTGGACATACGCTGCACTGCACAAGCGGTTCTCGGCTAACGGCATGTTGCCATTGCAAAGGGAGCATGAAAGGACTGTCAATGCCGACATTGTGTGCAAAATGGTTGTGACAAGAGTCACAGCAGTGTGCAGTAATTTCGTATATGATTGTTTCGCTGCAGGTGGGACGACGACGTTGTGTTCAAGAACCAAACTCGTGGGGAGCCTAAGGCGCAGAAGAGATTCATAAATGACACAGTACGCTCCGATTTTCATCAGAAATTCCTGCAAAGGTATATCAGATAAGCCAGCCAACACTGGAGCTCCATAGAGAAGACTGGGGACGGAAAAGCTGAGACGTTTGGGCACCAACAATGTCGAACTATAGAGTACATGTAGAGTGTATAAGAGAGAGAAGAATTCTGTCGGCAGCTTATTATTCCCCGAGATGTATCCTGCCGAGTTTGGCGATGATTATGCCAGGATCCGCCGTGGACCCTGCTTCTGCACTGCCATAGAAATCGACCAGTAGACTTCATTGCCGATGAAGGCTGTGGGCGACTCTCGAGTGACGCAGTGTGGAACTCAACGACTCCGAATTGTGCAATTGTAGCTGCAGCACGAACGCGTCGTGCAGCCAGGACCGAATTCGTTGCTGCATAAACAAGGAAAATCGTTCCCCTTGCACATATGAGGCGGCGACCTTCCCAGTGCAACGGCGCACATGCTGAACGCGCCCAGGGCTTTGTCCCACACCCCTCCCAGTCCGCACGAGGGCGCGTGGGAGCCCACATGCGCGTCCGTCAATAGAGTGAGGATCGCCCGGCGCTGCCGCTGAATTCACGGTGTCAGTAGGACGATCCCGTACGGCTTTGTACGGTGTAGTGCTTTACTTCCCCCGCCCTTCCAAGGACTTGCGTGGCTGGTCGTCTGGGAACTTGCGTGGACAGGGTCACAGGCGGTTTTGCAGACGCAGCGCAGGGGCGCCACCCCTGACACTCGCAGGCAGCAGCGAATGGGCAACGCATGCGTGGTTGGGGCCTGTTTAGACCCCAACCCACGATGGCCCATTAACTATCCACGGAAAACATCACGGCATTTGGCCAGTCCCATCCACAGCAATGGCAGCCATGGTGCGAAGGATTCTTGCCTATGATACCGCTGCTATGACCTGCTGTGGCTCCCTGCGTGAGGCCTTTCAGAAGGTACTTGCCCGAAAAACGTACCAGGTTCTCGTGCACAGCAAATTGCATAGAACCGGCCAAAGCAGTCACTGCCTCAAAACTACGTCACTGTTCTACAACGCATGGGAATGAAGTGTAAGCCTGCACTACTTGATTCCGGCGCTTGTCCTGTTAGGACATTAACCTCTAATTGTGCGCCATGAATCTACAACCACCTTTGAACTCTGTATTGCAGGCTGCAAACAGCTGCTACAAAGAACGGGATCAGGCGTCGAGGTATCCCTCCAGATGGACACGGCCACTCCCATAGGAATCCTCAACTGCAGAGTCTCTCCTTTCAGAATTGACTCCGTTCAACAAATTGAGAGGCCACACTAAACTGGCGCTCATAGACTTTAGTTAGCGGCCGTCTGCTGGCATGGAAGGCCCAAAACGCGTGAGCAGGCCGTCCACCTCCGCACGGGCATTCAACCCATCGATCAGCCAAGAAATATTTGCATGCACATTCAGTCACAAACACAAGAAACGGTTAACATTGGACAATTAAGATTAGACAAGGGCGGACCGTTCGGCCACCATTCACGCGCCCCTCTCCGCAGGCAAAACCGGCGATTCTTGGATAATCAATGGATGCAAGACGCGCACCACAGACCGCCCGGGGGCGACCCTGGATCGGGTAAGGCGTAGTGTACTGAGTACTGGGTGCGCAGGGGTTCCACCGATCCGCGCTCAGCTGGATCATCTTGTCTGGGTGACGCGGACGCGGATGGGCATCTGTTTATAAGCCCTTGGCGCGCCCAGGCAGCGGCCGCTGATGGTCTTCGGACACGGTGCTTCTGAAGCGGCGCTCCTCTGGCGAGGAAGCGGGTAGGTTACGCCGCTGCCCTGGGGTTGTATGCGCTGGCGAATCTGCGAGTTGTCGACAGTGCACGTGGTTCATTACAAGAACTGCGTGCTGCGCCGCGGGCGACAAGGGCCGCGGATCCGCTTGTTCATGGCGCCACGCGACCGGATTTGCCGGCACGCGTGTTACCTTGAGCTGTTCTCGCGGCGCGTTCGCAGTTTTCGGGGCCTTCCTCTGCCTGGAAATCTGCTGCGCGGCCGCAGCTTGGAGGAATAGGCACACGGATGTTGCCGACGCCAGATGTCAGCGTCGCGGGCCTTCATCCCAGCCATTTTTTATGATCGTTCTGGAAACTCTCACTGGAAAGCAGAAGCGTTGTTTGGAGGCAGGCAGCTCTTGCCAGAGCTGCAGGAACCCTGGTGGGTGTAGCGGCCGAATGCCACCGGCGAGCCCTCCGTGCGCCTGGGCCAGGGCCTTGTGTTCTCAGCCGACCCGCGCATCATCCACATCTCCCATGCTGACTAATACCCCTTTCACTCGGCGCAGCGACAATGACGTCAGAGGCCTGGACCCCAAGGTACCGGTCGAAACTGACGGCGGGGTACCTCGAAATGGCGGACGTTTGGTTGTGCGTCCAGGGACAAAATTTACCCGCCCATGGCGCCGTGCTGGCGATGCACTCGGGCTGGTTCTGCAAGCTGCTGAGGGACGCCAAACGGGGCGAAGTGCAGCATCGGATGGTTGAAGGGAAGCCTGTGATCAAAGTGGACGAATGGATGGAAGATGTGGACATTCTGTTATCATTTATGTACGGCGTGCAAGTGAAGGCAGAAACGGTACGATTAGTGACACCCTGTCTGGCAAGTTAAAGCTCCCACGTATGCCACGCGTGTTTCTCCATTGCACGCCTCTGTGTGTGCATTCACGTATCTTCACTGCGCACGTCGACGCCAAAGTGTTGACAGCAGGTAGATCAATGCTGGTACCATGGTATTAGTTTCAAATGTATCAGTTGCGTGATCGGAAAGCAGCTGTTGTGTTCTAGGTACAGTGGTGCTGGCCGCTGGCTCTGTCCCTTTCCCCATGCCACTGCTGATCCTTCGTTTGCAGGTGGAAAGTGCAGACAAAATCCTGGGCATCGCTGAAAAGTACGACATGCCCGGACTCGTGAAGGTTGTGGAGACCAGGCTCTGCGCCGCTGCAGAACAAATGAGCTTCTGCACGCCACACAGCGAAGATGCGCATGGCGGCGGGTGCAAGGACCGGTGGGAAGCCGCCAAGTGGCTGGCAATGGCGGAGCGCCTGGACATGAATGACCTCAAAACGCAGTGTCAGTTCGTCATTTTGCGCGATATTGCCGACTTCGTGTCCAAGCCCTTGAGTGCCCAAGGACAGGCGGAAAAGCACAAGACTCAGCAGGCAGTGGCCTGCCTGGAAAAGCATGGAGTCAGCATACGCAGCATGTGCGAGATGATCCTTGCCATCGTGGACAAGTCCCGGCAGCTCGTTCGCCCTGCCTTTCGCTGCCCGACGTGCCAGCAGCTGCACATACGGTCGAGAAATCAGAGGTGCGCCTCGTGCGACTGCGGCACTTTGATCGAGACGAACGCGTGCAGGGCATTTGTCGAAATGAAGAAGGAGGCCTTTCTCAAGAGTTTGGCCTGCTTCAACGGGCAAAAGTCCCTGACAACCGACTGAATGGGTGTCAAGGGACGAATCACAGAAGAAATTGACGATGACTTCCATGGTGTTGAAACCACGATGACGAAAGCTTCTTTGAAAGGCATGTGTGGGCGATCCCTGAGAGATATTGCCAGATGAATGACACTGGCGGCGTCCACTTGCGGTGCAATGGTGGCGTGGTGATGGAGCGGACTGTGAAGCCGGCTATGGATGGCGAGAAATTTCCCAGATGCCGAGTCTCGAGGACCTAGGTCTTCTTATTTTCGTTGCGGATTCCAGAACCGCGCTTGCGCTCAGGCATCTTTATGTGCTAGTTTTGGATTGTCTATATTCTCATTGAACAGTATCGGCAGCCGTGAGCATCATCCTTGTAATTTTTGTTCCAATGCCCAGTTGTTGTTTACAACACAGCCCTGCCCACCGGGATTGGTACTGCAAGTTAAGTTGGTGCTGATGGTTTGGTGCTGGTTGTTTACCACATCATCGAGCCGCACCCACCAAAGGTGCTCGTCTGGCTGAGATACCAATGCGCTGGAGCTGCAAGACTGTCAAGCATGTCTCACTTGTTGGCGATTTCCACCCATCGATATGTCAAATCGAGTTTACAAAGACGACGTAATATTAGCGAAGCTCCGACCAGGTGAAGCTGTGACTACAACGGCCGGGCGCCACCGGTTAGTTGTTTGGGATGCCGTGATTCTACAACCCCGCTTACCAAGTGAAAAAGTCTGGTGTCTGTGCTCGAAAAATGGGTACTACGGATTGTGAGATACTGCCATGGTGATAAAGGCACAGGGTGGGATGCACATCCACTCCTGCCCAGGTTGCATTCCTTCCCAGCTGCTCTTTAAGAGCAGTCAAACTACTCCCCACAACCAGAGAACTCAGCATCTCCAGCACTGTGTTGTACAGTGGCAGAACTCGGGATATGATTCGCCCGAGTAGCAGTTTCACAAAAGCCTGGCAACGTAACCCGTCGTGTCATTTCGGTTGCAATCCAGCCACTCGAATGGCAAACAAATAAGCACAAGAAGTAAGCGGCAGCACCAAGTGCTGGTGAAATGCGCTCATGCATGGACCCAACGGCATGTCATTAAAAAGCAGCTGCAGTGCGAAATCAATAGGGGACGTTTCTGGGCAAGTGGTTGTTGACATTGCTTCGCAGCTCCACTCGCATGCGCACCGTCTCCTGATGTTTTCGGGCGGAACGCCTTGACCGCTTTTCTTCAGGTGATGGAGACGAAGCCGTCTGGATACCCAAGGACCTGTACCTGAGCACGCATCGTACAACTTCACGAACAGTTGAGGCAAGGATCCCAAAATGAGACTCGTTGTACCAGCGAAGAACATCTCACGGGGTGGAGGTGTTGTCGGCTTTCAAGCCCTCTAAATTTAGAGGCAAGCACACAAATGCGAAGGCAGCGGATAAAGAGCCGCTATGCCCTCAACAGCAAACATGGCGATGCAGTCCTAATGCGAGCACAGCCACACAACCATGGCCCAGAGTCATGGGGCATACTTTGCCACAATCTGGTTGATGAGCACGGATTCTCTCGCTTCTGTCGGTCGATGTTTCTGTTTGTAGTACCGTGCAAACTCGCGTGTACCAACGATTTTCTCCCTGCCTCCTTCACCCGTTAGCACCAACTCGTAGCCACCTGTCCCAAGGCCAGCCTCGTCCCCAGCGACAAGCTCCTGCCCTGCTCGCAGCCATCAATGCAGAGATTCAGGTGCCATCACGGCTTAATATGCAAAAACTGCAGAAAGAAACGCTTCCCACAGTACTCCACTGCAACTCAGTCGAATGAGCAAGTGAATGTACATGTTCACTACAAGAATGGGAACAACGACAAACTGGTCTTGCTACAGGTCCCCACCGATCTCAGATTATGAGGCACCACTGATCCTTCCAGTGGTCTAGAAGAGCCTCACAGAGTTTGGCAAAAAGCACCCCAATCGAAAGGCATGCACCCCATTACAGAGCACCTGGCTGCCGCAAATACCCCCAAACACGACACCAGAGAGCATCAAGGGTATCAATGTGGGTTCCGTGCACCTATCTGCGCCTAACATTCGTCCTCACCTCCTTCAGGCTCATACAAGTAAGCTAGGTCATAAAAGTCCTCATACTCCTCCTCGTTGTCCTCAAATAGCATTCTGCACCTGTTGGTGTCAATCATGTGTCGCTGCACGGCATGGAGGCTTCTGAAGCGCTTTGGATTGGGGTCATCGCCTCTTGACCAAAGGGGCACACAGCCATGCTGGAGCTTGGCACCCTGCACGGTGCCCACGTGTTCAGCACAAACAACCCACAATACGAGCTGCAGAAAATATCAGACAGCAGTTTCCAGTTGTAGACAGTCAAAAAACATCACAACAACGATCATGCGCACGTGTGACACGGTCAAATCCACAACATACTACCACACAGGATGGATGCAAGCATCACATGCAACTGGCTTTTCACAAAGCAGTGTAACACCATGTGGCAAAGTCAAAAGAATCGAAACGCATTTAGAACAACTCCCAATGAAACAAGCCACCTCTGAGAACTCCTTCTCCAGACCTCCACAGTATGCTTGTCAACCAAGCACTCACCAAGTATTTGAGGAGGCCTTGTGGGTCTGTGAGGTGTTCTGCATCAGGAAAGAAGAATCCAAACTTCTTGTACATGTACTCCAAGTTGTCGTCAAAGGTCGCACTGCTGTGACTGTCAAACAGGCTGCGACACACGTTCCACTCCTCCCACTTGTCCACCTTGCCGCTCTAAATACAGCACACCAGGCTCAGTGAACAACCCAATTCAAGTAACTGCATCGAACAGGACGAGGGTGGAAGCAAATTTCCTTTTACATCAACTTAGGTGTGGACTTGCCCAATGTCAAAGGTGTGTTTGGAATTGGCGGCTTGCAACTGGGAGAATCCAAATCCTGTCAGGCATTTCAGATTCTGCCAACCATTTGGCCATAGTGAATTCCAGAAGGCACAAGCTCATACTCAATGAAATGCAGGTGCCAAAATGTTCTGACAATAATGTTTCAACAGCCCACATTCGCCTTGAAATGAATATGTCCAGCTGTGTCTCACTCAGCTGGACTCTGTCGTGCATTCTACTCAACTAAGCAGCGCTGCCATCAAGTATCATTCTCATCAAAGCACTGAGTTCAAAACAGGATGAGGATTTTTGTGCTTTACAAGTTTATTTGCAAGGTAAAACATGTTCTGCATTCGGCAAAGCTCTCCTCAGTACGGAGTGTGTCATTGTGTTTCGTTATCAGTAATCAACAGTTTCAGCAAGAACAAAGAAACAGAATGCCATGCTGACCTTTCCATCTTCCATCACAGCGGCATCTTCATCAGACGCTGTCTCCCACTCTGAGCTGCTATCACCTGAATCCGACTTGGCATCCTCCAGAGTTGCTGCAGGCCCCTCAGACTCACCCTGGTAAGTCGCAATTCTGATTTCAGAGGTGGTGGGATCGAGCAAAATGGTTTAGAAGCTTTCAGGATTTTGGAGTGTTTGGTGCAAATGTAGGGCTCCATTGATGAGGCATTTTCATTGAACAACAACAACTTGCAACTGCCGATGTGAGTGTTTCTGCTTGAAATGCAACTGCCAGTCACAGACACAATATTGAGTCAAACAGATGCTTGCTGGGTTGGAAAACATGCAGCTAGCATGTACCTTGACAGGCCTGTAGGTTGTTGGTTTTGATCTGTATCCACCTTGAGAGTGCACTCCCAGGGCTTTCTTGTTCCCACTGTCCGCTCCTGTTAGCAATTTGGATGACAGCACACCGTGCATCAGAACAGAACCTTATCATAGGCAGTTGTTTGAGAGTTAACAAGCTGATGTTTCAGAATTTCCAGAACAGTCCAGGCACCACTCTAAGCCCCTATCCACGCTTCGGAGATTAAGCAGCCGCCTTCAAAGCAGGACCAATCCCTATGCCAATCAAAAAAGCCCAGAACTGGCCTGAAGTGCCAACTGCACTCATGCTGCAATTCCATTCACTCACTGTCAAATGCCCTCCCCCATGTTGTTTTTGCCACTACCTTGATAAGATGGACATAGATCATGGTTGGAACTGGCCAACACATTCTCTGAGTTCTTTGTTCTGCTGAAGGCTGTCAATAAAACAACTACTAGTCTTGACAGTAGGATCCTAAGCTAGGATGATTGGGAACCCAGATTCTTAAGCACTCCTCACAGCAACGAAGAGAATAAAAGTACGTCTATTGACACAAGGCGACCGGCCAGCTTGTCGACACCTCCTGGGACTCCCAGCCGCCACTTCGATTGCCCAAATCAAATAATGGGATCCACCAATCCGATGCCCATGCCCATAGCATCCCCTGCGGAACTCGTCCGGTGCAATCCCATCGCCCTCCCCGTGCTAGCACTTCCACCCACCCTCCTTCGCCCTCTTTTCCACCACAATGGGCTCAGGCGCCGTCCCCCCGCTCTCCGCCACCAGCCGTTTGTATTTCTTGGACCTCACGAACGATGCGTACGTCTTCTCGCTGGAGAACTTCTTCTGCGTCAGAGGGTCGATCCACACGCGATTGCCCGCCCCAGGACTCGATTTGGACGCCGCGCGCGCTATCTGGTGCTTGCGGCCGTCGAACCACTCCTTGGTGACGGGCGGCAGGCCGGCAACCTTGCGACGGAGGTTGTAGATGTGGAAGTCGCTGCGGTAGTGCTGCGTGAGGGCGTCCTTGTCCGTGAAGTACGTGCCGGAGGTGCTGCAGTAGAGGCCGCCGTCCGAGCCCTCGGCCGCCATCGCCGTCAGGGAGCAACAGGGAGCGGCAGCTCGACGCACGCACCGGGCTGCTGCTGGGCGGCAGCGGAATGTCTGATGTTGGGAGTCTCCGTGTGTGTCCGTGCGCACAGGCTGGTAGTTCAGGTAGTAATCCAGACGCAATTTTGCAGGGCTGGACCCAAGCAACAAGTTTGCAACGGAAACAGAACAGGTTCGGAGCAAAACCAGTTTACTATCAGCCCGTTCGTTGGTTCCCTCACATGCAATCAGACCGTTGCAGCAACATCGCAGATGATCCAAGGATGATCCAACGAGGTGAGATTGGTGCCAATGAAATCTTCCTGGCACATCAATCGAGTCTGACCCAAGACATTGCACTGACACCGGTCGTCAGAAAATTCCAATCAATCATTGTGACCATTATGGATATCAATCTCCAATACATAAGCAAGGAGATTGCATTTCAAAGGTATCACAGGTGTGAAACAGGATGGCAAGAAGGCGCGTGGATGGAAGCGGGCTGCCAACCCTTCTTGTTTTTATTTTATCGCTGATGTGGGAAGCAACATGAGATGCGCGGCACTAGAACAAAGGGGGGCACAAACGGATTAGAGGGAGAATGCCCCACATGGGCTGCAAGGTGCAAGTGGTTCAATATTGTTTGGGTCGTCAATAACGCTTATAGTATATTCATTGAACAACAATATGATGCATAGAGTGCCGGGCTCCCCGTTGAAACAAAACTTAGGGTGTGCACAGTGGCACAACGGGTCAATTGATGTTAAAGATAATTTGACAAGTTATTTTGATGAGTTAGATGGTTTGGATAATATAATTTGGCTATAAAAACGTGATCATCAGGTTGCTTGCATTATTCTGATGAAATTTGACATACAATATTAAATTATAGCTATATAGATCGTTAAAATTAATAAATCATTTAAGATAATAATTAACCATTGAAATTTCATCCTCATAGGCGAGTGTGACATGGCGTGGGGCCACACACGCTTGGGTATAGGTGTGAGCTTGGTAGCATTGGGTTGTTGGGCAAGGTGCAACATGGGCAGTATATAAGGATGGTCATGTGTGTGACAGAACTGCCACCCTTGGCAACTTGTGTGGGTGCCGTGGAGTGTTGTGGACACTATGAGAGCAGTGTGGAAAGAGCAATTGGGTGTAAAGTATGCCGGTGGCTATTGTTGTGCATGGTATAAGGGGAAATAGTGATAGAACAATGGAATAGTATTACTAGGAGATGCATATGATGAGTTCTAGCAAGAGTGGGTGGATTCTTACGGGAAAGGAGAATATTCTAGGTGCAATACATGAATTCGTAGTGTGATATGACATTTATATATGGTAGTTCAATAGGAAGTGTACTCAAAGGGAAATGGTGTAAGATGGCAAGGCTATGGGATAAGGAATAAGGTGTTATGGTGTAACGGATTTTGTTATACTGTTAAAGTGGCGTTATGGGGCCTTGGCGGAAGATAAAAAGGGAAGCCGCTGGTCCATTTGCCAACAGCGCCAACTGCTTGCACACCCCCGTTTCTGGTCCCAGGGGTCCAACTAGGACCCCAAAACAAGCCTAAAGTATTAGAATGGCGGGAAAGACTTGGAATTGGGCTTCCAGACCCACCAGACAAGTTGTTCAATGGGTATCTAGGAGTCGTGCGGAGAAGTTTTGGATCATTTGGAGTAGAATTGAGGTCAGCACAGGGGATCTTCAGGATTAGAGGCCCAAGTGTTGGATGATCAATGCCAATTAATTCTGGAATCAACTAGGAGGTGAAGTGACTATTCATTGGACATCCTAGTGTTGCAATCTGCTTGTTTTAGTGGAATCAAAGGGTGTCTGGACTATTGAGTTGGGGTGAATCTTTGAACATTCTTGTTGGTTGTAAGCATTGATTTCCAGCGACACTGTGAAGTGTTCAAGAGTTGTGCTTGTTGTGTGGTGGATTCTCATCTAGAATATCGCTCGCTGGCCTCGGTCGTGTGCCTAGGACAATAGTGACTGTCCCTAGGCAGAGAATGCGCGTGCAATATCCCCCGTGAAGGCAAAATGTACAACGAGGTTGCTATCCTGTCGAATTGACTTTGTGCAAGCGACCCCCCAGATGTGATGTATCAAACGATCGCAGATCCATTTAATGTGACACCCCAAAGCACCGGCAAGGCGATGCACGTGGTGGTTGATAGTTGATCACAAAGCGTTGTTGTTTGGCAGCATAAGGCTGCGCGAAATGGTTGCACTACCGCATCAGCGAGCCGGAGCTTGAGCCGCTGGACAACCGTTGCAATTGCAAAGTGCGGCTCCTGCCGCAACCGCCTTGTCTACATGGAACGACTGATATTAGCATTAATGCATTGACATCCATGTGACAAACACTGGCCATTTCCCGCAAATTCACTTGGTGTCTAAATCGTCTGAAGTTGCCAAAATGCTGTGTTCTTTTGGACGAAAGTGTGGTCCAACGGAACCGTGTCATGTAATCTTAACCGCAGTTTGGGTGTGATATTCCACCAGTATGAGCTAGGTTGCAAAAATCTGGGATTGGAAAAAATGAACGTGCAGCGCCCAGCCCTTCTAAATGGCACACGTATAGCACTGGCACTACGAGGGCCTATGGATCCTTGTAGCAATCACGTTGCCGCCTGCTGATCATACAACGTGTCATGTGACATTCCATGCGTATGTTATGTTGATTGGTGGAGATTTCTTGTACTACAAGAGAGTATAGAAAACTGATCCCAGCAAAATCGAAAGCACATTGAAGTGTGGGTAGATGGTGTTGTTGAGCCAAGGCGAGAGAACACAAGCCCAATTTAGGTTGCAAACCATCAATAACTACTTACATTAGGAAGAAAGAGATGTCAGTTGACTAGCCAAAAACAGCAATTACTGCAGATGATGCACATGCCAAATCAACAACATCGCAGAACCACAATCAAGTGTTGCCTTATTCTCAATGTCGTGCGATAGCACTCGCAATTCTGTATGTCATGGCACCGCAACTGCTGTTCCACCAGTCTACTGGACACTCCACCCCCGCACGGCGCAGTGCACCCTGGACACTGCCGACATGTAGTCATCAGCTTGCTTCCCATATGCGCTGCTCGCTGCGGCAACGATCGCTTGCCTGGCCGCCTCTGCATTGCCCCAGGACTCGTGCCACAGCCCTGTGTACTGCAAAAGACAATTAAGAAAACACAATTGGCATGTTCACTTTACCAAGAAAGAAGAAATATCACACAAATGGTCTACACTTTCAGCGCAAAACAACGTTCGCGACACTTAACAGCGAGGAGCCATCGCTGATGGCCAATGGCAGGCACAGTGGGCATACCACACTGGCATGGCATGTTGCCCATGTCTCGTCCGTGTATTCCTGTGTTGCATGCCACTGCACATTGTTCGCAGAGGGTGCACGGCAGCTGCACCATACTTTCCATTTGAGTTCGAGCCTTGGACGTTACTGCGGCGCATAGTATGCACATGTGTTCACCCAAGCTACAGCTGCAGAGTGCTGCATAAGGCAGCAAGCAATGGAATGGCATCATAGTTGGTGTTCTCAGTCGCCAAATCCATTGCTGGGACTTGGGGATGGGCCATGCGACCTTCACATCTTTTTCTATGACCGTGTGAGCCGAACTTTCGTTTGAGCATGTGCACACTCAGTGAGCGTGTACTGAGAATTGAGATACATTGGCTTTCCACAGGATGCAAAGAAATGTTGCCAACAATCCCCGCAGCACAAACAAGGCTGTCAGCCTGCGCAACCATTGTGAAATGGCTCTGTCCTCTCCGAATTTGAATCTTTGTTGCAGAACCGCATTTTCACCATTTCTTGCCACTGATGGGAGCAATGTCGACAATGGGGAGTACACATATGATTGGGGCGTTTCAAGTGCCTTGCGATGTCGCCTTCAAAAGTGCAAGTCACTGTTCTGTCCTGCACAGGCAATACATGCTCAAGGGACTCCCATCCAGAGAGGCCCCTTGTCGAAACCCAAATTCCAGTCATGTCCAGGGACAAGCCCACCACCAGCGCCACCCCCATGATGTTCAATTGACTCAATTTCGCATAAGCCAAATTGATTAACAGTGACGTACCAGCAATGCATAAAATCCTTGACCTCCACGGTCTCCGCTGGGCACGGATTCCAGGATCTGGAAGCAAGCAACTCTGTTGGAATTTGCGATTTCCTCCCCAAAATGACAAAACACTGGACAAATGGGCTTCGGTATGAATTGATCTGCGTTCCCTTGGCCCGTTCCGCATGCACAAGAAAGAAACGCTGGCTGAAAATCGAAGGCCTTGGCAAAGGCCTATTATCTGGAATTCCAGTATGTCACAAACTGCAGCAATGTCAACAACACACAACTGTTGGTATTTGCCCAATGCTACAGAATTTCTGTTCGTCTGCTGACATGCGCTGAGGAATGAAAACTACACTTCCAAACTCGGCTCCACCGTAACAGGGCTTCGAGTGCAGCAAAGCAAGATAACCCAGCAACACGATGCACAATCTGCTCCGATAGAAAGGATAGAAGCCCCACCTCTTCAGGCTGTTGCCCAGTTTTGAAGCACTTCAGAGCAGCTCTCATCACAGGCCGGCGATCCTCACCAACCTGTGCAATAAATTCACAACATTGCGCACAGGCTTAACTCAAATGCCCACAGTTGACAACACTGCAGTGCCTTGAAATGGCAGTGCAGCAGTGGATTGGAAGCTGCCATAGCCTGCAAGTGCTGGATTCTGTACTGCAGAAAATGTGCCAGAAGCTGGTACATACAGAGACGCAGAATTTTAAACAAAACTCCGACCCTAAATCAATGAAGTAAAGTGCTGCCTGCTTTGAGTTAGGCTGTGCGCTGCCACAACTGAACACAGCTTTATCCCTGGCCTTGAAATGAATCAGAATTTGACAATGTTTTACAGGCTGCTCTGTTAGATTTCCTCAGGAGCATCTTCAATGTCCAAGGGTGCATTGCCAGCATTTGTTGATAAAT